ACTCTTGGATTTTTCCTCTCCCCATTTGAAAAACTAGTCAGGTGTGATGGTGTATTCTGCAATCCCAGCACTCAGGAGGCTGAAGCAGGAGGACCACTTCAAGTTCAAAACCAGCCTGGGCTACATAGTGAATTCAAGACCAACCTGGATTACATAGAGTGTGTGTGTGTGTGTGTGTGTGTGTGTGTGTGTGTGTGTGTGTGACAGGGGTAGGGGTGGGGGTGGGGGAGAGGAGAGGAAAAAAGGGGGGAGTGGGAGAGAGAGGGAGGGAGAGACAGACAGGCAGAGACTTTACTACTTGCATTGACAGGGCTGCATATAATCTCAAGGAGGAGGGGCCGGGGAGATGGCTCAGTAGAATAAGCACTTCCCTGGCAAGCCCAAGGGTCTGCGACCCTGTCCCTAGATGGACTGCACTAGCTTCAAGGCTTTCCATCCTTGAAATAAGCTAGGTCAGCCCTTGGCATTCTTTAAAATGTAAATAACCTTGTGAGGGTTGAACTGACTAGCCAGTGTGAAAGTTTTTCCTACACCAGAGATAGCTAGGAGGACTGCCCAGTGGGGAGTAGGGGAAAGGCAAGTCAAGGGTCAGTTGTGGAGACATACGGGTAACTTAGGATTTCAAGTGCTCACAGCTGATTTTTTTTTTGTACTGGGAATGGAACCCAAGGTCTCGCATTTGCCAGATAGGAGCTTATGCCACTGAGCTCTCCCCCAGCCCTCACACAGCTGATTTTTGTGGAACATTTACACGTGAACTTCATGAGTACAGTGGTATCAACATTTCTTTTTTTATTTTTTGAAATAGACTCTGACCCAGTTCAGGCTGGCTTTGAACTCATGATTTCCCTGCCTCAGTTGCCTGAACACTGAACTATAGGGTAACATTTCCTTTTTTAGTACTAGGGCTTTTGAACTGAGATACTGAACTACATTCCCGAACACTTTTTATTTGAGACAGGGTTTGGCTAACTCACTAGATTGAGGCCCAGTTTGGGCCTCAACTTCCTTGAGTGCTCAGATTATAAGAGTAGGCCAAGTCTACTTTATTTTTTGTTTTTTAATTTTTTTTTTAATTTTTGGCGGAACCAGGGATTGAACTCAGACCCTTGCACTTGCCAAGGAAGCACTTATTCCACTGAGCCATCTCCCCGCCCCCCCTTTTTTTTTTAAATTTTTAAAAATATTTTTGAAGCTAAGTCTACTCTAAGCATTTCTATTTTGTTGTTGTTCTGTACCAGGAATCCAACTCAGGACCTCACACTTGCCAAGCAGTCACTATGCTGCTGAGCTATATCCCTGGCCCAACATCTCCATTTTATGGATGAGGAAACAGAACTGTGGAAGCACTGTTTCATTCAATCCCCACACCAAGGGAGACCCACTTGACAGAAGGGGGAAGTGAGGCAGCTCACCAAGCCACCACACAGAGCCCCACCTCCACCGGGAGCCCCCTTATGCTTCTTCCTCAGCAGTGACAGCCAGCCCTGGGTGGGCGGGGACAACCTCCTCTGACCTCCCTAGAGCTTGGAGACGGACTTGCCAAGAAGTCTGAGGAGCCATCAGGCCTCACCTGTTCTTGTGGTCCCTAATTGTTTTCTAAAATCTTTTTTATTGAATTAACAGAGTGTAATGGAAGAGTCATCCGAGTCACTGCAGAGTTCCGAAGGCCAAGGCTTGCTGGGCAGAAGAAAGTGAAACCCTGGAGGCACCCTGGGCCCACTGGTGGTATAAAATATGTATTTTTTTACATAACTGGGAGGAAAAAGAATAAACGGACAAGGCTGCCCCATGGGGGAAACGCCTTTCTCTATTTCCATTATCTTGTTTAATGCGCAGTTGGGCAGGAGCCTCAGTAGAAAAGGAAATACCGAAGCCTTTTCCCTCTGAGCCTCCTGGTGGGTTAAGAGGTACAGGGAGCCAACATGCAGAGATCCAGAAGGCTGGGTGTGTGCTGTGAAACCCATTAAAAGGAGGGTCAGCTTGCGGGGAGGGGCTGGCTGGTGGGGAAACAATGTCTTGGTTTCAGACAACACCTCTCCAGTGCAGATAAGAAAGCGCTCTGTGGGCACAGATTCGCCTTCAGCCCTGGGCGAGACACGCCAAATATGCATGTCCCCATGAGGGAGGAAAAGAGGGGTGGATCTTTCAAAAGAACAACCTTCAGCCTTGGCATACCAAGTACTACTTAGTAGCTGTTTTTGCATTAGCTACTATCAACTCACTCACATAGGCAAGAACACTGACTTGCCCAAGGTCATGCACCGAGGGACTGGCACATGCGGGTATGGGTGTGTGTGTGCACACGCGCGTGAACACACACTACTGTTTTGTAGTTCTGACCACACTTGGACAACAAAGGGAAAGGAGGTATCCTGGTCAGCATAACCAAACCACGCAGATGTGGCTAGCCCCAGACAGGGACGCTATCAGGCCTAACCTCACCTACTTTGTTTCTAGGTCTCACCTTATTTTACTGGGCACAGAATTCTCCAGAGAAGGTGGTGAAACTGGTGTGACTGTGGCATCCAGAGCCCCCATTCAGAAATCGGGTGACCTTGGATTCTCATCTGGGCTTTGACTTGTTATGTGACACTGAATGTGTTCTCCACAAAGAACAGGTTTGAACATTTTTTAAAGAGTCTTTTTCCAGGAAATGATAAAAAATGGATTGAGGACTAGCAAGATAGCTCAGGAGACTAAACTCCTGCTTTGGCAAGTGCAGGGACCAGGGTTTGATCCCTGGTCTCACATGCCACACTGGCCCTGTCTCCCAGGCATGGTGGCACACACCTGTAATCCCAGCGCTGGGGAGGCTGAAAACAGGAGGATCACTATGAGTCCAAGCTGTGTAGTGAGACCCTGTACCAAATACATAAAAAATGAAAAAGAAAATAGATTGAGGGCTATGTAGCTCAGTGGTAGGACATTTATCTAGCATGCACAAGGTCCTGGATTTGAGCTCTGATTCAGAAATTATTATTATTGTTATTATTATTATTTGTGGAACCGGGGATTGAACTCAGGCCCTTGCGCTTGCCAGGGATATGCTTATTCCATTAAGCCATCTCCCCGGCCCCCAGAAATTTTTTTTTTCACATTTATTTATTTATTTATTGTGTGTGTGTGTGTGTGTGTGTGTGTG